TAGTGCCTACCCTTCACAAACTCTTCCAAAAAATTGAGAAAGAAGGGATAATACCAAACACGTTCTATGAAGCCAACATTACACTAATACCAAGACCGAACAAGGACAACACACAAAAAGAAAACTACAGGCCAATCTCCCTAATGAACACTGATGCAAAAATCCTCAATAAAATTTTAGCTACCAGAATCCAACAATGTATCCATAAGATAATTCACCACGACCAAGTAGGATTCATTCCAGGGACACAAGGATGGTTCAACATCCGAAAATCAATCAACGTTATCCAACACATCAACAAAAAGAAATATAAAAACCATATGATAATATCAATAGATGCTGAGAAAGCTTTTGACAAAGTGCAACACCTATTCATGATAAAAGCCCTTGAAATTCTTGGGGAGACAAGGAACATACCTCAACATCATAAAGGCCATATATGACAAGCCAACAGCCAGTATCATTCTCAATAGTAAAAAGCTGAAAGCAATTCCATTAAGATCTGGAACAAGACAAGGATGTCCACTCTCACCACTGCTTTTCCATATAGTTCTGGAAGTCCTAGCCAGAGCAGTAAGACAAGAGAAAGACATACAAGGAATCCAAATAGGAAAAGAAGAAGTCAAACTATCACTATTTGCAGATGATATGATAATATACATAGAGAACCCCAAAAACTCCACAGGAAAACTAACTCAACTCATCAATCAGTTCAGTAAAGTGGCAAGATACAAAATCAACACGCAAAAATCAGTAGCCTTCCCATACACAAACAATAAATCTGAAGAAAAAGAAATAAAAAAACCATCCCTTTTATTATCAAAACAAAAAAAAAAATCAAATATTTGGGAATAAATCTAACAAAAGAGGTAAAGGACCTATACAAAAAAAACTATAAAACACTGTTAAAAGAAATAGAAGAAGACACAAAGAAATGGAAAGACATCCCCTGCTCATGGATTGGAAGAATAAACATTATTAAAATGGCCATCCTACCAAAAGCAATATACAGATTCAATGCTATTCCAATCAAAATTTCAATGTCATTCTTCACAGAAATAGAACAATTATTGATGAAATTCATATGGAATCACCAAAAACCCCGAATAGCCAAAGCTCTCCTGAAAAAAAAAAGAAGGGAATGGAGGCATCATACTCCCAGACTTCAAACTCTACTACAAAGCCATAATCATCAAAACTGCATGGTATTGGAACAAGAACAGACACACAGACTAATGGAATCTTATAGAAAATCCAGAAATAAACCCACAGATTTATGGTCAAATAATCTTCAACAAAGGAGCAAAGAATATGCATTGGAGCAAAGAAAGTTTGTTCAATAAATGGTGCTGGGAAAACTGGGTCACTACACACAAAAGAATGAAGCTTGACTACTACCTCACACCATACATAAACACCAACTCAAAATGGATTAAAAAACTAGACATAAGACCTGAAACCATAAAATACATAGAAGGAAATATAGGCAAAACACTACGTGATTTGCACATCAAAGACATCTTTACAGACACATCACCCAAAGCAGTGATAGTGAAGGCAAAGATAAACAGCTGGGACTACATCAAATTAAAGATCTTCTGCACAGCAAAAGAGACAATAACAAAAACAAAGAGGAACCCCATCGACTGGGAGAACATTTTTGCACACAACACTAATGATAAAGGACTGATCACAAAAATCTGCAAAGAGCTGATGAGACTCAACAACAACAAAGAAAATAACCCAGTCAAAAAATGGGCGGAAGAGCTAAAAAGAAACTTCTCTGAAGAGGAAATGCAAATGGCCAACAGGCATATGAAAAAATGTTCAACATCACTTGTAATCAGGGAAATGCAAATCAAAACTACCATGAGATACCATCTTACACCAGTGAGAATGGCACATATTAAAAAACTAGCAACAACAAATGTTGGCGAGGGTGTGGAGAAAAAGGAACTCTCCTGCACTGCTGGTGGGAGTGCAATCTGGTCCAACCACTATGGAGAGCTGTGTGGAGATTCTTGACCTACTAAACATAGAGCTTCCATATGATCCAGCAATTCCACTCCTAGGTATTTACCCAAAGGACACAGAAACATCAATTCCAAAGAGCACCTGCACCCCTATGTTTATAGCAGCACTGTTTACAATAGCTAAGCTTTGGAAACAACCCAAATACCCCCAAATAGATGACTGGATCAAGAGGATGTAGTACATATACAAATGAAATATTACTCAGCAATCAAAAAAGATAAACTCACACAATTTGCAGCAACATGGATGGCACTGGAAGGGATCCTGCTCAGCAAAATAAGCCAGAAAGAAAAAGAAAAGCAGCAGATGGTCTCACTCATAGCAGGAATCTAGAAAACTTAAATAAGGGACCAGGAAAAAGAATAATTATGTGAAAGTAAAAATCAAAATCAACAAACAACTATGAACTAGAGACACTCTATTGGGGGTGGGGTGCAGGGAGGGGAGTAATTTGGTCAAAATAAGGGGGTCACAATTGTATGGGGAATATAAAAATAAAATTTATAATAAAAAAAGAAAGAAATGCAGCCATTTTCATTCATACTCAGAGAATTATTTACATAATATAAAAAAAGGTCATGTTTTAACTGCAACCCTCATGACATCTTAAGGGCATGTTTAAGGACTGCAAATACCACATAGCCAAATAAAAATTCATGTCATCTTACACTGTATTGGTAAAAAATTAATGCTACACTCAAGAAATCCTAAAGCTTGTCCTTTTTTCAAGACCTAGGACTTATATTGTGTGTGGCAAATACCAAGCATGTAAACAAAGTTTTTGACTAAAAAGCCCGTTAGTGCTCCTGGCAGATGGACCACATGTGGATTGATATACAATTCTTTGATACTGACAAAGATAATGCAAAAAGAAAAGAAAACCTTGTCTAAATAATAATAGTATTAATAATAGCTAATATAGTAGTACATGTTGGACACAGTTCTAAACATTTTATGCAGATTAACTCATTTGTCACAGCAGTAAAATTATTATCCCTATTTTACAGATGATAAAAGTGAGGCACCAATAGTTTATGTAACCAGTCAAAAGCCAAATAAGTAGTAAGTGATGGAGTTATGTTTTGAAGTCAAATAGCCAGCTCCTAGCCTACAGTTTATAAAAGTCAATCATACCAATTGATAAGATTATTAGAAACAGAGGAAGAAATGCATTTGCTTAGGGATGCAGTAAGCAGAAGATTCAGAAGAAAGCACGTTCATTGGTTTTATAGTCAACTAAGAAAAATCAAGAGGCAGACATGGGCTCAGTAAACTGAAGAACTTTCTAGTACTTTGTATTGCTCACTAGTGAGTAATCAGGCTCACTGAGTGCCCTGTGAAGGGAGTATTCAGGGAGTGGCTAGAGGGTGATGTAGAAATGATAACTATGGCCGTCTTACCTTAGGGAAAAGCTGAGGCTAGAGAATCACTAAAGTCCTTTTCTTTTCTTTTTCTTAAATATTTATCTATCCACTCACATAAGAACTGGGGTATAGGCCAGAGGTGTGGGGGGGTGAGAGGATTCACTGCAGACAGAGTGGGGAACAGAACAGGCAGACCAACTGAAGTACACTGCTGAGGGAGCAGCAGGTGAGACAGGAGGGGTCTGCTGTGTCATGTGGGCTGTTCCCTGGCTGGGGATCAAACTTGTGCTGCAGTGGCTGCAGACAGCCCCACAGGCTGCATCCTAACCCCTTGCACCACCAGGGTGGCCCTATTTTCTAACATCTATAGTTTTCAAAATGCCACATGGATCTCATTCTCAAGGAGCCAGGAACAAACACAATAGAACTTAACTAAGATGGAGCTTTAATAGGCCATCAAAAAAAGAGAAGAATTTAACATCAATACATATGCCATTATCACCTCCTAAAAACTTGTCATTTTGTTTACCATATGGATCTTACATCTCCAGTCATACTTTAATTTCCTTTGATGAGGCAATGTTTTTTCATTTCTGTTCCCTCAGGACCAAATCAAAACCTAGTTCACAGAAGGTTCTCAATAATTATATCTACTGACTCCAAAGAAATCTAGAAAACAAAATATCACATATCTTTTGAAAAAGAAAACTGTCAAGATAATAATGAAATGGGTGGGATTCAGAACAGTGAGCCCTCACACCACCTTCAGAGATGAATATCCTTGCTACCTACATCCAAATAAAGCAATGTCAGAAATGGAAACAGCACCGCAAACAATGTCATGGAATAAAACCCAAAGAAATGCCAAGTAACTAAAATATGATACACAGGTCAACTCTTTATGTACCCACTTTTCCATATCAATAGATAGTGTCAAAGAATTTATTTGTGTTGTTTAGACTGTGAAATCACTACTTTCCCATCCAGAAGGAGACAATCCAATTAAACCTGAGATTAAAGAAGTGGATAAATGTGTCCTCTGGACTGAGAAGGCCAGGAATTAGACACACTGCTAATGCTATAGCAGGCAGTCTTCAGACATGATCCATTACAGGGACGTCTTCCATCAGATGTTAGCGAGGCTAATCCTTTTGCAAAGCATGACAGCTTCTCAAACTTGACTGTGGTGAATCTAAGCCAGATTTTTATGCTATATGATCAGCTTTCAAAATACAAAATTGTGTTTATATTGTATTGGGGTTAGGTTTTATTAAATTTAAGTTTGCAAACAAAGATACAGACGCCTGTAATACAGCCTGCCTTGAATCCCTTGATGCTGATCTTGCAGAATAAAATGTCAGATGATAGCGACATGAAAATATATGAAACCAGAGCTTCTCTATAACACAATGCTGTCAAATGATAAGAGAATTTTCCACATCCTCAAAGAGAATCACTCAAATTTCCATCTCTGCAAAAAGAGCACTATAATATGTCATCAGAACATTGTTATTGACACCATAGTTTTCCAACGGAAGGTCATCAACTTTGAAGGCTTTCATCACTCTGACAGCAGGCTAGAATTCTTGAAGACTCCTTTACCTTTTTGCAGTCAGATAAGGACTTCTCACTGGCCAATGTGCTGAAAATGGTGGTCTGCAAAACAGGAAGACAGGAGATACATTAGAACCTGAAGTATGTAATGATATTGACCCTGCCCAGTTCATCTGGGAACCTATTCCTATGACCTCGCTGATTTATCTGGACTTTAAAAAGCATCTGCTCTTTGTTGTTTCACTGCCATCCTGCCCACATCGAAACATTCATTATGGGCCAACAATGACTGAGCAAGTAAGGACACTATCTTCATTTGACAAAGAAGGAAACTGGCACAATTCAGATGTCAAAGATCACATACCTCAGAAAAAGCTAGGAATCAGAGCAAAGAACCTACATTTTCAACCACACATGGAACTCTGTTTTAAAGAGATGTAAGCAAAATGTCAAATGCCCAAAACCTTTTGAATGAAAAATTTTAAGAGTAGTAGGGTAGAGCTTCTCCCCATTTAAGAGATTTGGGAATCTGAATAGCAGCACCAGGGTTTACCATCTAATCTCCACCATCTTTAACACATTCTCCTCTGACTGACTTTTCATTTGTGTTTATATTTTCTAGGCCCCATGAATCACTAAAAAGGCACGTTTGACATTCAAGGCCAATAAGGATTTACCTGCAAGTTTGTTCTTTTTGGACTATCCTATGAAGAATTAAAAAGGACTATGGTCAGTCACATAATGGCATAATGGTTTTGAATTTTTTTTCAGTAAACCTTTCTTTAATTACAAAGCCAATAGGGAAGACATTCTATGGGGTCTACACCTGAGAGGAAAAAGCAAACATTGTTTAAAAATGAACAATGATGTAAAATATATATAAATTTTTAAAATAATAATTACAAAGCTAATATATGTTCTCAATGAGTCAATCCCCTTTCTAACCTATCCTTCTGAGTTAACCAATGATAAAATTTGTGCTCATCCTTCCATATTTACTCCATTTTTAAACTAATATATTTTATTTGCTTAAATTTTAAATATAATTTTAAAATATAATTAAAAATAATTTTCAAATATAATTAATAATAGTTTATCAATTATATGTAATTAAAAGTATTATATATTAATTATGTGCATTACATTACATATGTACATATAGCAGTTTCTTTCTTTCTTCAGATAAGATTATGCTACTTAATACCATATTATTAAAAACTTTCCAGGTTAATTCATATAGATTGACTCATTCTTAAATTTACACAACATTCTATAATATGTATGTAATATACTTTAAGTATGTTTTCTTTTATTGATAGACATTTAGTGGTTTAGGTTTGGTTTTTTTTTAAAGATTTATTTATTTATATAAGAACCAGGGTACAGGCCAGATTTGCAGGAGGGTGAGAGGATTCACCAGAGACAGAGTGAGGAGCAGAACAGGCAGACGGACCGAAGACACTGATGAGGGGAGCAGCGGGCGAGACAGGAGAGGTCTGCCTTGCCATGTGGGACCCTCGCCAGCTGGCCGGCAGTTGTCGAACCGGCACTGCAGAGGCTGCGGACAGCTTCACAGCACGGTGCTCAACTGCCTGCGCCACCAGGGGAGGCCCAGTTTAGGTTTTTTATTGTTGCTTTTTTATAATTTCCTTTTGTTTGTTGTTACAAGCTATGGTGCAATGAAGAGCCTTATATATGCAATGTTATTTATATATGTCTATGAGTGTGCATATATATTTTACTGAATAGGATAAAATTTATATATATTAAAGACTTTGTTATGACCAGAAGTAGCTCTTTATATAACATAGAATTATTCACCGTCTCACTTAGGATTTTGTTTTGCTTGGGACAAGATCTAGAGAAAGTTAAGAATCTAAGTCAGCACACATTCTGGCCCAAAATAGTAAGCAGCATTATAGGACAGAAAATACAGATGTGGAGATACATATAAAAAAAAAAAGCATTTTCATAAAAAATAATTAACTTAAAGGTTTTGCTTGTGATCATCAAATTTGGTTTGCTGGAAATTTTTTTATTATTATTTTTATACAAGAGCTGGGGTACAGACCAGAGGCGCAGGAGGGTGAGAGGATTCACCAGAGACAGAGTGGGGAGCAGAACAGGCAGATCTACTGAAATACACTGCTGAGGGGAGCAGCGGGCGCGACAGGAGAGGTTTGCCATGTCATGTGGGAATCTCCCTGGCCAATAATCGAACCAGCGCTGCAGAGGCTGCAGACAGCTTCCCAGCACTGTGCTCAACACTCTGCACCACCAGGGAGGCCCTGCTGGAAATTTTTATTTGTGTTTTTGTTTCTAGAGATAGGGACACATGTTAGAAAGTTTGAACTAAAGGGCAAAAGGGAAAGAAGTAGAGAATTGTGTTGGTAGAAGAAATGAGGAAAAACAATTCAAAAAGAAGGGCAAGACAAAAAGTTCAACAAAAAAAGAGCAAAATTATGAAGGGTAGGAAAAAAACTGTTCTACTAAAGAAACAGCCATCTTTGCTTAAAGAGAATGAGGGTATTGACTCAGCCTTTGTATCTTTGTCCACCCACTGACTTAATTCCAACCACTGGTATTGACGGGCCTAGGGATAGCCGGGAAGTTCCATGTCATCTGGTCCTTTACTGCTGCCAAGTGATATCCCAGTTTCTCTCTTTTCTATATTCCTTCAGGATGCAAGGAAAGATAGTCTTACTTTCCTTGAGTAAGAAAGAGTCAAGAAAGATGAGTCAAGAGAGAGAGAGAGAAATGCCAATGAAGCAGCTCTTTGATATGGACATGCCATAGTGAAACACCTCTCTATTGTCTTTCCCCTAAATGCCTTCCTCATGACCTCTCATCACCTTTACACATGTGTGCAGGAGCACCGAACATCACGTCATGACAGAGGCCTCATTCTTCACTCTCAGATTCCTATTTGAAGGAGGTAAGGACCCAACAAGACTTAGTAATCACTAAAGCCCCATTACCTAGGCCAGTGCAGGGAAGGCACTCAATAAATATGCATTGATTGGGGAAAAAGAAAAAAAGATGGCATTAGGTGAGACCGCAGTTCTTATCCCAAAATACTGCTTTGGAAATACAATGCTGAAAAACAGTCTCACATGGAATAACATTATAAGGTGAAGCTTAGAAGAGAAGAATCAACAAAGATGAAAGACCCCTCAACAGACATTATGTATTTTCTTTCTAGATAGCATATATCTATTGTCTGGTATCCTCGTCATTTGGCTAAATTGATTTTTCAATGTCAAGCCTATGAACAATTTGGACTGGGCACTTCTTTGTTCTGAGGGGTTGTTGTACTATGCACCCTAGGAAGTTTTTGCAGAATACCTGGCCTCTATCTACCAGATTCCAGTAGCACACCCACCCCTACTTGAGTCAAGACAACCAAAAATGGCTCCTGACATTGCTAAATATCTCCTGGGGGACCAAATAACCCCCAACTGATAACAACTGGTTTAATCACTAAGGGGACCAAGTTATGGAAATTATCCTGATTCCCTGGCTAGTGCAACTAAATTTTTTCCAGGAAACAGAAGTCTGGTGATAGAAATTTCTCTCTCTATCCCTGATTTCAAGCCTCGGTGTTAGTCCTAAATAGGAGTTAGAATCTACGGAGCGCCCAAGTTCCAGCTACTGAAGATTCTGTATGGGGGCAATTTGGGAGATTCTAATTGCATTTTTAACTAAGCTTAAGATACACAACTGGAAAGAGTAATTTAAGAAGCATGTCTAAGGATTCAGACATTAAGCTGTAGCCCCAGGGGAAATGATCTTCGAAATTAAACAATACCATTCAACCTTCGAGAACAGTCTCAAGTGACCTGAGAAACATGTTTGAAGGAGAAATGAGAGTCAGAGATGGGTGAAATTAACTTCACTGAAAAAAATTAATACAAGTAGCTCTAAAGATCACATTTATAGGAAGGAATCACTTGAGCCAAAGAATAGATGTACAATGAAATCTCAGGTCCTGCATGAAGTGTGAAAGAGGTATGGTTTGGGTCAATGAAAGTCCATATCCTTAATTTGGTGAATTTCTAAAGGGATTTTACTTATATGCTTGGTCAGTCTCATTTCGTTCCCGTCGAAAGACTTTAACTGGCATTCCAGTTTCCTAATTGGAGCTATTGTGAGAGACTTTGGGTGGGCTCTCTAAACCTTCCAATAACATGTTCACTTTAATTACTGAAAATGAAAGAGTCAAAACATGGTGACTTAGCCATGCTGTGACCTCTGTGATTATTGCATCAATATTTTTCTACTAAAGAGGAAACTCCTAATGAGTCACCTCCACCAAAGTTTGTGTTACGGTGCGGCAGTCACAGAACACAAGCACAATAAAGAACAATAGCTTTTTTAGAGCATTGACTTCTAACCCTGTTGGCAGGCTGACCAGCATGAAGTGAACAGTATCATCCTCGGACAGCTGTAGCAATTTCCCAAACTGAATTTAGAAATGTGAGATTCCACTGTTGTCCATTTATATACTGATGCCTGAATTTTTAGTTATTAGAACTCTATTTTTAGTATAAGACTTTGAATCACAACAGACAACCCTTCAAAGAATGCTAGGGTATAAGAGTTACTGGAAAGAGGGAAACTGGAAATTTCATATATTATAATTTGTTGGTTTGTTACACCTCAGAAGACTTGAGTCTATCAAATCCTGTTCTGCAAGCAGATTTTTTTAATGATCTCAAGAACAGATTTTGATTTGTGTGTGTATGTGTGTGTTTCGCTCTCAAACAGAGATGGGCTAGTTTTGACAAATGATCAAATGCAGTTGAAAGTTAAGAACCATTTAAAGGAATGATTCCTGCTTAAAGCAACGGCATTTGATACCTGCAATTTGTATCCTATAGACATACTGGATGATTTCTAACAGGTAGATCTATACATATTGATAACAATTTAGAAACCTCTTACACTTGAATTAATGAGTCCCCAAAAGTGCATACTACTTGATGCTCTCTTAGGCATTTCAGTAAGCCAATTTTAGTATTTCTGGAAATAGTAAAAATTTTCATTTAGTCTTCATGCTTTAGTAGATTGGTATTGATACATATACAGTAAAAATAGTGGTA